GAACTTTGCAGTCAAATGCCGATTTTCAGCATATTGTTTATATGGTTTTTTGGCTATAACTCGTCGACTAATTGATATTTTTTCAATCTGTTAAGGCCAAATTATTGCTAGAGACCTGTGCAACAATTAACATTAAAAAAAAATTAATTTAGAAAATTTTTGTAGTGCTTATGAAGCAAAATGTTGGAAAATAATTTTTTTTATGCTTTTTGAACATATTTTCCACAAAAATAAGTCTTTTTTGCTTTCTGTTTGATCAATAATATGCTTCTCAGTTTCTTCATTCAATTTCATTTGAAAAGAAAGAAATCATAATACAGAACTTGCCTTTTCCAGCTTAATATTAATTTACTTTTCATTTCTTATGTACCATTTTTTCAGTGTTGGTTTTGAAGAAACATTGAAAAAGAAATTATAAAAATATGGAAAAAAACATAATTTTGAAATGTTAGTTATGAAAAGTTTTAAGTAAAAAAATTAAATAAATTAAATTAATGATTTGGCCAGTTGCCGTTTAGCAGGCGGCTGTGGATCAACATCACTGCTCTCTCTAATATCTTGGTCATCGTCATCATCATCAGAAAGGTCGATAATTTCGTCCAACAGATATTCTGGAATTTCATCTTTGTCTTCCCCTTCCTCTTTTTCCTCGTCTTCCTCTTCTCCAAAGGTGTTTTTATACCACCAACAAATGGAGACTTTTACCAAGTTAATTTTTTATTTATCTATCGATGGTTATCGCCATAATTACTCTCACATTATTATCGGAATAATTATCGATATCCATATAGAAATATATATTTATCGACGTAATTTAGGATTTGTTGGCGATAAATTTATTGAAATTATTTATTAAAATCACTTTCGATATAGCTACGTATATATTACTGAGATACCTAGATATATACAATATATTTAAATATTTACCACGTTTATCCATAGTTTAGTCGAAACTTTTATTCACATATCCAAACATTAATTTATATCTCAATTAGAATTAACACCAAAAACATTTATCGGTGTTTTTGAACATACTTACTATAAATTTATCGATATATTTAAAAATACACATCTATTACGTCATGAATAATTCGACAGTAGTTTTGATTTATTTATTGGCGATAACTTTAGTGACGTCAATACCTTTACTATCTAGATTACTACTAATTTTGTTTTTATCGAGATCACTATCCATACATATGTGTATTACTAAGCTGTGAATTTTTTAATACGATTTTTTATTTATTTTTTGTAGGTGGTTTAATCGAAATTATGTTACATATACCGATAATATTTTTTTATTTCTATGAAAACTATAAAAAAAACATTAATCGATCGTTTTGACCTACCAATGATAAATTTATCGATTTCATTATCGATGTACATATTTACTAACCAGATGTGTATATCTTTAAATAATTCGTAACCCTTATCGATATTTTTATCTACATATCGATAATATTTTTTCGATATCATTAAAACTGTGATTCTTTATTGTGTATTTCCTTTAAGCGGGATTACACGATAAGTTAATCAGAAGTACTTGCACTGGTCATTATAAAATTATGATACTTGAAAATTTTAAGCCTACCAAGCATTCGTCACCATCTCAGTATAAAAAAATCAAATAGCGCTCAAGTCAAGTTTAACCACTGAATAGGTCGCCATTTGTCGCAATGCAATTACCAAATTACAAAGTAGTAATGCATGAATTGCACCAATTAAATAAGACAATTTTTCTTACATTTATGTTCCGATAGCAAACAATGGAAGCGTACATATATCCATGTGTATATGTATATACATATTTACCTGCATGTCCTTGCCATATACACGCTCCCTGTCATATGCATTTATATTCGTATTTATACTTGTAAAGACATACATATGTATGTACGTACATCCTACTTGTTGACAGCCTCATCTCCTTCAGTGTAAGGCCTCATTCCTCCGCTTGTCTAACTTTCTGTTTGTCCGATGATACTCGTCCTTTTGCCATTTTCGGCTTTATTTGTTTGACTTTTTGTGAAGTAATTAAGTCGCCGAGATTACTACTGTTCACACAATTGCATACATTTATTTGCAAATGCACACACGCACATACACGCTCGCACACACACACACGCGCTTTCTCATTGTGTAAATATTATTTCTGCAAATACAAAATGTAATAAAATCGCCTTTAATTGCCAGAGGGTGTTGCAATGCAATCACAGCGCGTCCAGTTGGAGGCGGCAAAGTAATGAAAAACAATTTTTCTTTTTCATTCACTTTCAGTCTTTAATACGAATTGTATTTGGCGTCAAGCAGAGTGTTTTGTTTGCGCTTAATGCAATTTAAATTTTTATATGAATTTTTGTGTAAATGCTATACATATTTATGGGTGTTTCCATCGGAAGGTCTACCGCGGCCAAAAAAAAATAAAAATAAAAGTCATATATCTAACGTATTTATAGGCCAATTTGTCTGCTTTTTTAAATATATACTGGATATGTAAGTATTTTGTGTTTTGAAAACCCATTTTTATGGTCCGATTTGGTTCGAATTTGGCCTATGTAGTCGAAACATAATAAATCATAGATTTCTAAAAAATTTACCCTGGATTGGCGCTGGAGTCAAAATATAAAGTATATTCGACATAAAATGCATGTTTTATTTGCGTTAAAAATTCATTTAAAAGCAATATTAACAAGAAAATAACGATGGAAATTTATGTCACTTGACGTGAAATTTTTGAAAATCAATATTGTTGATCGAAAAATTATATTTCTCTTCAAAAGATTCCCAATAATAATACCCATTTCTCTACTTAACCATTTTTTAATAATAAAGATTTTCTCTAACAACTTTCACATTCTGGAGTGAAGAATAATCCCTTCAGTCAATCCACCACTCAAATCCTCTCCCAACATTAACCGTAAATTCACTTTGTCACAGAAAGAGCTACCCATTTAAAAGGTTTTAAAAGGTATCACCAGATGGTTAGCAATTAAATCAACGAGTTTTCCACGCTACGAAGAAAAAAAAGACTGTTATCCACACATCAGTAACGCACCAGTTAGTGATGCCCAGTCAACCCATTC